CTACTACAAAAAACGAAATAGACGACGGGGATCCACCGTCGTTATAATGCTTTGAAAACCGTCGTTAAATCGACCGCCGTCTTTTGGGTGTCAAACTACGACGGCTTTCACCATCGTTGTTTATCTGTAAAGGCGATGGTTTTTAAAGAAAATCGTCGTTGTTTAGAGGTAAAGATCGTTAATATAGGAGGAAAGACGACGGTTTTAAAACCGTCGTGGATTTTAGGTTAAGACGACAGTTGTTTTATAAAAACCGTCGTTAATTATCTATAAAGCCAACGGTTGGTTTATAAAAACCGTCGTTAATTATCTGTAACGACCATAATTTATTATGAAAACCATCATCTAATAAGTTCCCAAACTGCTACATTTTAGTTCTTTTTGATTTCATATGATGCTATACAACGATTTTAACTCGAAAACCAACCATAATGCTTTATTAATGAATATATACACTCAAAAATAGTTTCTTTCATAAAACTTGAAGATTCAATAGTTATTACATTGTTAACCAATCTTTATTCTACAACAAACATAATTCCTACCAATTAAGTAGTACAATCTTTTCCTAACAAGACCTACGCCTTCCTCATCCAAACGTACAAATGATGCACAACTGAAGTCTCCTCCATCATCCCTGTAAATAAATCAAAATGACTGAGAGAGAAAAACAGCTAAGATTATAAACATATAAAATTAGGTGGAAGAGAAATTTTACCATTGGACCATATTTCCATAGAAAACTTGTAAAATGAGCATAAAAAAGACCATCGAGAACCTGCAAAAGGAAAAATATATAAATAAAATGATGGTGAAAAGAGAAGGTAACAAATTTTTAACAACAAAAAAACATACGACTCACATAAAAAACCTGCAAAAGAAAAAGTTATAAATCTGCAAGCTTCCTCCTCATCTCCTGAGAACCAAATCAGAAAATCTAAAAAGAAACCAGAAAAAAAAAATATGTAAACAAAGCAGACAAATCAAGAGAGACAGAAAATCTGAAATCAGGGAGACAAAGAACATACCAGAAACGCAAAGGGACTAATCCAGAATTCACTAGCAAGATATAGAAGGGTATTGAGAGATTAGGTGACTTTCAAATCAAACCTTTCATGAGGGTGTTTTAGAGAGCTCAAGAGGGTTTCAAGGAGGAAGAGATAAGGTTTTCAGAGATGGGGGAAAATCTGAAAATTTGTCGAGCACGAATTCACTTAAGTGGCCTTTTTTTAGCGTGTTTTAAAAGACGACGCTTGTTAATGAGAAATAAGGTTTTCAAAGACGGGGGAAATTTTGAAAATTTGTCCAGCGCGAATTCACTTAAGCGGCCTTTTTTTAGCGTGTTTTAAAAGACGACCCTTTTTTAAAAAAAACCGTCATCTTTAAATATAATAGACGACCCTTTTTTAAAAAAAAAAACCATCGTCTTTCCATGTAATAGACGACCCTTTTTTTGAATAACCCGTCATCTTTCCATATAATAGATGACCCTTTTTTTGAAAAAAATTGTCGTCTTTCCATATAATAGATGACCCTTTTTTAAAAAAAACCGTCATCTTTACATATAATAGATGACCCTTTTTTTTTTTAAATGGTCGTCTATTATATGTAAAGATGACCCTTTTTTTTTTAAAGGGTCATCTATTATATGGAAAGACGACGGTTTTTTCAAAAAAAACCGTGTCTTTGCAAAAAAAAGGTCACTTGATTTTTAAAAGACGACACTTGTCACTAACAAGCGTTGTCTTTTAAAAATCAAGTGGCCTTTTTTTTGTTCAGCGTTTTTTAAAAAACGACGCTTTTTAGGGACAAGCGTCGTCTTTTAAAAATCAATCTAACGCTAGTAGTGTATAAGATGATATATCATGACAGTTTTAAAAACACCGTCGTCTTTTAAAACATAACGACGGTTTTAAGATGCACCGTCGTCTATTTTGTGTCATGGTTTAACTATTTTGTAGTAGTGACTATAAATAAAACAACGTCGTTTAAGGAAAAACAAGGGTTTAGAAAACCATGCGCACCCATAACAATCAAAACGCACTGGAGAATTTTCGCTTCCTCGCTCAGCAGCTTCTTCCTCGCACAACAGTATTTTTTTGAACTCTCTTTCTCTCTCTCTCTCTCTCTCTCTCTCTCTCTCTCTCTCTCTCTGTAGAGAAATTTCAAGTAAAGGTTTTGAAATTTTTACCAAGGTAATTTCGATTTCTCTCATTCTTTTTTTTTTTATTTTGTTTATTTAATCTATTTATTTACATGAATGGCAGAGAATACAATGAGTAGTTGTTCTTCATTAATTATTGAATTCTTATGGCGTTTCTATTTTGTAATTTTTGAAAATTCCCAAACTTTATGTTTAAGATTTTTTTGGGCTCATAGGGATGGCCACCAACTATTCGACCAAATGCTCTAAAGAGCCTCTAAGCTCCTATGCACAGGACTCCTACTCTCTTTTTAGATGTGTTGTATGTGTCTCTTTGGCTCCCTCAGTTCTCTTCTTAGATGGTTTATGGGGGTTGAATATTTATGAAAGAAGGAGCAAAGGAACGTACTCTGATTTCTGCCATTGGAATTGCAATTCCATTCACACTAATTGGGGACGTGATGGCATTTGTTGAGCTTCCATTATTCTACTTTGGATTTTTTGTGGTTCTTTTTTTAGGATATCTTTTTGTTGGCCAGGTGGTCAAGAGACTCTACTTTATGGTTTATAAAAGATAGCTTTAGTTAACTAGAAGAGCAAGGATAAAAGCAAAGTGAAACAACAACAGTTCTATTGTAATCACTGAGCAAGGGCAAGATTCCTGACCAAAACACCAAAGCCTTACGGATCACCCATTGTTCAGGGTGAGACGATACGTACACAAGAACAACAACACATCTGATCCCATGCTACATGTCAAAGTCATTGACCTTTTATCTTACAAGGTAGATATTGGTAATTATCGTGAGCTCATTTGACTATTTTTTGTTTTTATGTTTGTTTTATAAGCATCACTTTGTTTCTATGTTCACTTAATCCAGTTGCGTGCTAAGTAAATCCTTCGCAATTTGATTGAATGTTGGGAGCATGTTTAGTTTTCCTCAACTTGTTTTTGGGCATTTCACTTATGCAATTAGATTTCACATATTCAATTATTTGTTTTCTGCCTGACAATTGAAGACTTGTAAATCCAATTGCATTTCAAGTTTGTTGAGTATGCTTAATTTTGTTTTTATGTTCCATTAATCCAAGTGCGTGCTAAGAAAATCCTTGGAAATTTGATTGAGTGTTGGGAGTATGTTTAGTTTTCCCCAACTTATTTTTGTGCATTCCACTTATGCAATTAGATTTCACTTATGTAATAACCAGCTTACTATTTGCCAATTGAAGATGTGTAAATCCAATTGCATTTCAAGTTTGTTGAGTATGCATAATTTTGTTTTTATGTTCTATTAACCCAGGTGCATGCTAAGTAAATCTTTGGAAATTTGACTGAGTGTTGGGAGTATGTTTAGTTTTCCCCAACTTATTTTTGTGCATTCCACTGATGCAATTAGATTTCACATATTCAATTATCGGCTTACTGTTTGCCAATTGCATATTTGTAAATCCAATTGCATGGAAAGTTTTCTGAATATGTTGTATGGAAAGTGTTCTTGTGACTGATTCAATTTTTTACACTTGCAGAATTTGGGTACCCATATTAAGGGATGCGGAAATGACAAACTATGTTGTTTATGGTTTCAAAATCATTTACTTGGTCCAATGAAGGATAAAGTCAAAGCAACGGGATTTTCTGAGTTTGCAAATTTACTTGCGAGAAAGGGAAGGAGAGACAAACACCTCATTTCAGCATTGGCGGAGCGTTGGTGGGACACTACACATACATTCCATCTGGATGAGGTCAGGGAGCTTACAATGACCCCGAAGGACTTTAGTGCGATCACAGGTTTACCCGTTTGTGGGAAGCCTTTAAAATATGACATGGAGGCTCACAAAAACACTAAGGAGGTAGTGAGGCTATTCAGGAACCACATTGCAAGCCTAATTAATACCAAGATAAAATATAGGGACATTGTGGATAAGTATAAGGAATGGAAGCCGCAAACTGTTGTATAAGAAAACCAGTTAACTCGTGTCTTCATTCTCACATTGATTGGCAACACTATATGTAATGATAAGAGCGACTCTGTCTATCTATACTACATGCCCAGTCTAGCTAAAGTCGATGAGATTAAAGACTACAATTTGGGCGGGGCTGGGTTGTCATGCTTGTATCTGTCGATGGATGCTATTTCCAAAAGGATAGTGTCAAGCTCAGGAGGGTATTGGCGAGGTGAATAATTTTATGTTGACAAACTAAATGATTATTATAATTCATTGCGCTTAGGTATTTTGGTTGTCAAAACTAACAGTGGTACGTTTTGAGTTTATAGGTATGGGCGTGTGAGTACTTAAAGCCACTTGCTTTAAGTCGACCATTTACCGATGAAAACAGTCAATGGCTGCGCGCGTTACAGTGGTTGGGTGTCCCGGATGTGAGGGAAACATCCCACAACTTGGAGCAGTTTAGGATAACCATGAGATATATCACTACTAATCAAGTCAAGACATCCATAGGGAACTGATGATACAACCCTACCGCATTATGTGCAAAGCAGTATTCCAGTTACAAAGCAAAGAATTCTACCCAAAGGACCAGCCGGGTATGCCTAGTATTTAGGGGAAAGAGTATCTGTGCAAAGCCTAGCTACACCAGATCAGCGGATCCCAAAAATACCCCATCGAACCATGCTTAGAGACATGAAAGTGTATGTCATGGACAATGAAACCAAAGCATCACTTAAGGAATTTAAGGCGGATGACTAGTTTGCTGAATCCATTGATTATCAAGTGTTTTGAAATGAGTATGTGAGATATAAGCATTATCCAAGTGTGGCCACAAATGTAAGTTTTACCTTTGATAATGGTCAGTTTTGCATTATGCAAAACAAAATTTAATTCACATCACATCACTATGCGGATTGTGGAAGATGGTGTGTGTTCTATTGGTCTGAAAGTTCAAGCTAGTGAAATTAAAATTCCACCATGGACTGTTCAAGTGGTGGGATGGGGGGACGCAGATGATTGTGAAGTATTGGTTATCCCAAGAGGCAAGTCTAACACGTGCCTTCCACTCTCGAAGGATGTGAAATATGTAAGTTTGAGGTTAAGGGTTGGATTTAAATGTTGAAATCGAAACTACACTAATATATTAACTTTGTTTACACATAACATATTTGTACTATAGGTAAGTGCATCCACAGCAGCAGAACTATTGGATATGATTAGTGGGCTAAATTCCTTGCTCTTCACAAAATGCATGGCAGCTAGGTCAATCATAAGAGACCTTGCAAAGGTAACGCTGGCTCAAATGATGAAATCTACTTTGTTATATAGCTTAATTACCAAATTATTGCAATCCACTTATGTGCCATATTTGTTAAAGGTTGGATTAGGTGACATATTTATAAATTGGTATGAATCCAATATTATGACTTTGTTTTTGTAGAAGAGATGCATTAAACACAACAATGACCGCCGTGCTGGAAAAGAAATTGATGATGGGGAAGATGGGAATGAAATTGATGGTGAGGATGGTGAGTTTGATGACAATACAGATGATGGGTTTGAGAATTCAAGTGAGGAGGGTGAGAACTCAACAAAGAATGACAATGAAGAGGAGGAGGAGGAGGAGGAGGAGAACGAGGACGAGGACGAGGAAAACGACAAGGTGGTGGAGGAGGAGGAGGTTGATGAAGATGGTGAAGATGACGAGGAGGACTCACTAGTGGTTTACAAACCCCAGGCGTCATGTGGCAAGCCAAAGTCCAAGTCATCACCCATTAAAAACAAAGGCACAGAAGCTGTGTTGAAAACAAAAGACAAAAGAGGGGAGGTGCATACCAAGGAAAAAGCAGTTGTGCTTAAAGCAAAAGGCAATGCACTGCCAGAAAAGCTCAAGGCATCTTTGCCCAAACCAGAACCTATTAGTAAGCGGCTAAGGAAGAAAACTTAAATTGTATTATGGGTAATTTCCTTTTTTAGTAGACGTTGAAAAAAGTGTGATTACTGTGATACATTTCTCAACTCTTGTTACATACAAACGTTCACTATTTGTATGATATGCATGTGATAAAATTGATGGGTAGTTTATGTTGAAGTTTTGTATTGGTATGTTTTTTTCTCTGGTCAGTTGCATCCAATGTATTTACGCTCAGTGGTAGCCACCACTAGTTGACAACAGGGAGCTAGTAATTGCATAAACATATACAATTGCACATATGTAACCAGGTCAAATGTGCCCGTGTAATGTCGATTCAATGGGTTCAATCGAGTTAATGCAAAGGTGGAGAAAAATATTAGGGGAGCCTCAAAAATTATATAATGTCATAATTTATAATTGACAACCAGGGAGCATCAAATTACAAACAAATATGCAATTGCATGGTAAGTTACTTCTGGTGCTTTGTGTAATTGACAACCAGGGAGCATCAAATTGTATATCAATGTCCAATTGTATTTTAAGTAACTTGTAGCATTACAAATATTCAGTGTGATTTTTTTTTTTTTTTAATATATTTCCTTTGTGTATGTATTGTAAATATATATAAATTGAAACAAATATAATTATATTAAAAGTAAATAAAAAATTTGAAATATATAAATATGTATTAAAAATATGTAATACTCTAATTTACAAAGAAAAGGATCCCTACTATAACGATGAGGTAAGCATGCACCTAAACTTGTAACATTGGATCCTTATCCTTGTAAACCCAGTTGTTTACATTATTACAGACTCTAGTTACACTATATTGGACATAGTTGTTCCCAAACCCTTTAAAACATATCCTTATTCTTGTAGGATACAATATTTGGGTTCGTATTTATGAAACTTTGCATATTCAGTAAAACTGACAGGTCCACCATAATCCTTAATATGATAATACCCTGATTTATAACGAAAGGGACCTGTAGTATAATGTGAAGGTTATGGTCAACCTTGAAGGAGTAAAAGTGGGACATTGTGCTTGTACACAGAATATTTTTATAAAGGTAAGGACTCTGGTTACACTATTATGGACATAGAGGTTCCATAAAGTTATAAACTCTATCCTTAATCTTGTAATTCCATAATTTATAAAGAATTGGACACCTAGTATAATGCTAAGGTAAGAGAGGACCTTAGAGAAGTAAAATTGAGTCATTTTCCTTATAAACACAAGGGTTTACAACATTCAGGACACAAATTACAACATTATAGACATAGAGGTTCCATAAAAAGTATAAATGATATCCTTAAGCTTGTAATACACAAGTTTACAAAGAAAAGGACCCCTACTACAATCTTAAGGTAAGACTGGACCTTGGTATAGAAAAAGTGGGTCCTTATAATTGTAAACACGAGGGGTTTACAACATTTAGGACTGTAGTTATACTATTACGGACATCGGGGTTCCATTGCGTTATAAAACCTATCCTTAAACCTGTAATACCAGAAGTTACAAAGCAAAGGACCTCAGTACAACATTAAGGTAAGATTGAACTTATGAGGAGTAAATTGGGTCATTATCCTTGTAAACACAAGGGTTACAATATTAAGGATTCGTATTATTTCGATATAAGCTTGAACTCTATCACCTATCATCATTCACCTAAATACATAACCTAATGGCATATACCATTATGGAAACCATGAAAGTTGCTAATTTTTTAGAAAAGCAGAAACATAATAATATTAGAACGGAAGTCTTTGTACATTTGGCTAAACTGGAGGATGCAAATGTTGACCTTGCAAAATCCCTGGCCACTGTGCAATGGAATCTTGAAGTAGAGGTTAATCTTTTTTGTTCATGTTCAACTCCTTTTGAAGCTTCTACCGTGCAAAAATATCTTTAAAGAAAGTATATTATACGGTGGCTGGTAATAGCAGTGAAAACTATATTAAACTATACAATTCTCAACTGATCACCCACATTCTCCCCTTCTATCTTCTTGTTATTGTCTCTCTTATGATTTTTTTTTTTATTATTTATCTTTTTGCTCAGTAGAAAGCATAAAAAAATAATGGGGAAAAAAAGATATGACAGCATATATGAGAATCAGGCATAGGAGGGTGAGATTTGTTATGTGATTTGGTATTTATATCACACACTCAAAAGTCTCACACAAATACATTAAAATTAGTAAGTTTTTGAATACCATGGTACATTTTCTTATCTTTTAAAAATCCTAATTAAATACCACCAGACTTGCATAAATTATTTAAAAATCCTAATTGAATACCACCAAACTTTTATTGATTACTTAAAAATCATAATTGAATACCACTGTACTTTTAAGCTTCAAAACAATCCATTAAAATCTTAATTGAATACACCTTCTTTAATATACTGGAAGAGACATTTAACACTTACAGATTGTTAAAATAACCGATCTTGCAGCCAATCACCGTCTTTAACTCGTCTTTTCTTGTTTTTGGATTTTTGCCCTTATTATGCACATCACTGTTCTTTCTCACCATTTTATAATTCCAATTAATGATGAGCCTGCATTAAACAAGAAAAACATTTTATCATATCAAATAAACTCAATCAAAAATAATAACATGTCAACTCATATGCAAATTGTCAAACTATATCAAACAAACTCAATGAGAAAATAACATTTCAACTCATATGCAATTGCCAAGGGAGATATGAAATTGTAGGACCCTTAGGCATTGCATGTTTGTGCTCCAATATATCTCCCTCTACGTGTTAGAAATATGCCCTTAAAGCCAACTAATTATGTAATAGTTAGAGTTAAGGACATCTTTGATAAAAGACATATTATGTTATCAATGGGCAAGAAATGTTGTTTTATACATTAAATCATCATATATTATCTTTCAACATATAGAACAACCATAGTCCAAGGAATACACAAATGGATATGAGAGCTATGTAATGAGATTGCATACATGGAGACTTCTCATCATCCCTAAATCATGAATATGTTCCTGATCATAGGAATATTGATTGGGCATCAATATTCCACAAAGACCAGTACACACAGTATTGTCTCTATATGTAGGAAATGGCAAGGTCTCAAGTCATTAAGTGTGGAGACACATCGATATGTGTGTAGGTGCTTGTAGAAGAACAAGTACACTGAACGCAATCTAACACATAAGTTACAGCATGGAAGTCTTTACTCACATGTGTAGCTGGAACTCATAAATTGCAACGATGCAAACTAATCCTTAGACCTGAGGTATAATAGATGTTTTATGGCTATGTTGTTAATCTTTTAGAGCACTATACGGTCATGCTGAATTAGGCATAGCTTAAAGGTGCTCATTAGGATTCTCAATAGAGTCATGAAAGCAAATGAATGTACAACAAGGAATCTCTACTCTTAATAAATGAGAGAGAATACTCCAAGATATGATTGTCAAATCTCTACGCAGAGTAGTGGATAAGACTTAAAAGAAGAAGTCTTCAAATCTTACCAGGATAATCATATAAAAGGAATGATTCACATTAGGATATTGACAATCAGATTCCATGATCTAATAATGTGAATAAACATAAGAGAAGAATTCAATTGCACAGTCATTCCAATTTGAATAGGTTCTTTCACAACGTCTCATTTAGCTCGGATAACCGTGACTTGCTGCTAGGCGACAACCATGGACCAAATAGAGCCCCAAATTCCCACCCAATGCCTTTTTGTGTTGTCCTATATAAGCTAAGTATTGGAGAAAACCTAACTAGGGTTTTTGGTTTCCTACTTTGGTTGATGAGTGATCATATTTGTATCTCATCTTCCATAAATCAAAAATTGGTCCAATCAAGAAGTAGACTAACATCCATACTTCTTGATTGTCTTTTCTTCATCTCTAGGAGCATTTGGTGTGGTGAGGTAGAGGACTCCAATCTTGGAGCCTTAAGGTGAAAGAGTCAAAATCAAGAGAAAGAAAAGGTCTTTCCAGCAAAGGTGTTCATTCTTGAGAAATCAAGAAAAGGTCATCATGGGTAAATATCTATTCCTTTTTTCCTTTTTCTATTTGTGTTCAAAGAGACTAGGCTAAGATATTTGGTTTAAAATAAAAAAGGTTTAGCTCACCTAGTATAAACAAAATGAATCCGTCATTTAGAATGTTTTTGTTGTATAGGTTGTGGCCAAAGTTCATTTCCTAAGCATTAGATGCATGTTTCCTTCACTACGCATTCAACGTAATTCTCAGCCATCCAAAACTATTTCAATGCTTGTTCTCATGCTATCCACTTTCATGGAAATTTTACAATTTTTATTAATATGTGAATGAAATTAAATTCATAATAGGTTACCACCCATTATTTTTTAAATCTTTCAACGCATTCAATAGTTCGAACATCCAAGAATACAACATATTAAACAAAATAAAAAGTAGTCTTATCAAATAAACTCGATTGAAAAATAACATGTCTCATATGTCAATTGCCAACCAGGTGATATAAAATTGCATTACCCCTAGGCAATTGCATTTTCGTGCTATAATAATATATCACCTTCTACATATATAATATAATTTTGAGGGATCACGAAGCACTTTTAATGGTTTGTTCTCAGCCTATTGACTTTAATGATAATTTTACAATTTTTAATAAGGTTACCCACCCACAGAAATTAAATTCATATTACGTTTTCAAAAATTAACTTAAAAAGGTGAGGTTAGGGTTTAGCAAAACACAGGTCATATTACGCAATACTAATTTTACAAAAAGTTAGGGTTTATATCAAGAGATAAAATGAGATTCTTCAATACTACCCTTACAAAACTTCAAACCAAGTGCTTTAAACCTTAAGTAAATAGTTGCCAATCAATGGAGGAATCTTCACCACATAACATATGTCAACTCATATGCAATTGCCAAATCATAGAAACAAATTGCATGAACCCTATATAATTGAATTTTAGTCAGTCATATCAAATAAACTCAAAAAATAACATGTCAACTCATATCCAATTATCAAACTGATTTTTATTGAACCATATATGAAATTGCATTCTCGCCAGTCATATCAAACAAACTCAATTGGAAAGTAATATGCCAAAACATATGCCAATTGACAACAGAAAGCTATGAATTGCATGACCCCTATGCAATTGTATTTTCGTGCTCCAATAAATCATCTTCTATACATCCAACGAAATTCTTATGCATAATATTACAATGCTTGTTCTCTGTATAAAAAATAAAATTGCAATGCTACTAACTTTCATTCAAATTTTACAATTTAGAATAAGGTTACCCACCCAAACAAATTCAATTCAAATTTGGTACGAAACTTAGGTGAGATTAAGGTTTACCCATCAACAAAAATTAACTTATAAATTCTTGAGATTAGTTAGGGTTTAGCCAGAGACAAATGAGATTAAGGTTTACCCATAAACATAATTAACTTAAAAAGAGGTGAGATTAGTTAGGGCTTAGCAAGAGATAGGTGAGATTGCTCAATACTAACCTTAGAAAGCTTCAAATCGAGTGATACCCAATGCTTTAAACCTTAGGAAACAACTGACAACCAATGGAGGAGATGGCCATCTTTAGCAGTAGAGTTTTTTTGGGTTTGAAGTTCAAGACCAGCTTTTGGGAGCATCACGCGCTAAAATACCCAAGAAAAAACCTATTACCTTGACCTGTTATAGCATGTTTTCTTCTATTTTATTTACAAATCAATTAGCATGTGCACTGCACATGATTCATAAAGGACAAATGGAGCATGGGTGCACCTAGTGCACTATAGAAGGTGCCGCACAAATCAATACTGAAATTCCTTTTTATTTCCAAATAGTGCCACAAGATCCCTTAAAATTTCTGCATGCAAACATGTATCAATTTCCAATATTTCTCATATCCAAGTAAAAACAAATATAAATTTTTAAAAAAAATCCCTTTTTATGCAGGAAATTCATACTTTAAAAAAAATACTTATTTAAACAAAGTCCACTTACAGAAAGTCCAAGCTGGTATGGGCTGGTGGGGGTCCCGCCTGCTGGCTAGCCGGAGCCTGAGCACCTATTGAAGAAATATCGAGATATGTTAACAATTGTATTTCGAATACGAACTTTAAATTAGAAAGAAAACCCTAATTCTTGAGATTTAAATGCGTAGTTTTTTGTTAAGACGGTTTCGATAGGTTCGTGGTCTACGGTTTGGTCAACTTCCCCTTTTTGGTCAACCTGGGCCCATGGGGACCACGACCTCTGATTTCCAAATCGAGAGTTCCCAAAGGTCCAACTCAAAACAAGCAACATGTCCAGAGGGTTTGGTCTCAATCGAGCGGTCAGATTACTCTCGATCGCACAATCAGATGATTATTAGTTACCCAACCCTAAACTCCTTGAATCGAAGTATTCGGGACTCCGATTCCCGATCCGAGAATTCCTACCCGATTCTAGAGGTAAGGGAAACAACATACTTGGAATTGGAGTCAATCTAACAATCCGAACATGTCGAACCTGGATATCACCTAATAGGCCTAAATTTGTTCGACTGTCATACGATAACCAAAATCGAATCCGAGCATACTGTTGAGCTCAGGACGACAAGGGGATTAAAACAGAACCCAATGGGCCACCACACCATGGCCCACGTCCCGCCACACACGCCAACAGCTGGTGGGTAGCTTGAGAAATTTCCGCCGACAGAAATTTCTCAAATCACCCAACAGTACCTACACCTACGTGATCAGGGCAACTAGGGGAGAAACTTATATAATTGGGTCGACCTCCAATTTGGCTGGGAAGTGGCCAAAAAACATTGCCAATGTCGAACAAAACCTAGGTTTCTAATCGAACACTAACGGCTTCAAATCGATCCAAACCAACTATCAAAACAGCTAGAACACAAAAAATGGATGAAGAAGCATACCTTACTCTTCAGATTCCGTTGCCGGAATCGCCTGAAATAGACGACGGAAAAATCGCGACTTTTCTCCTCATTCCAGTCGCTTCACTGCTTGAAATCAGGTCTGAAAAATCAGTGGGTCGTGTAGAGGAGGTGGAGAGGAGTGTTTTGCAAGTTGTGGTGTTGGATTTGGTGGCCGAACGACGTTGGAAACGCCGTCGAAAGCTGCGGTATCGACAAAGAGAGAGAGAGAGAGAGAGA